TTAGATGACTTTTTATCAGCTTGCTGAAAAACAGCAGAAATAATTTGGAGTTGCAAATCATTTCCAAAATTCTTAAGCTGAAGGCACCTCACATTGGGCAGTTCTTTTGCAGAACATCTTCAATAACTGATTATATGCAAGGCAGAGAGAACCTCTGTTTGCTAGATCTGATGTAGCATTAATTTTGCCTTAGGAAAAAAAAAAAAGGATTAAGTGCTGTACTATTTGTTTGGGAATTCATTAGTTTGCAAAGAGTTTTGTGCCATCAAGGAGGGCAGAGTATTAACATGTTCAAGCATTCTGGGCTCTCTCTTACATATATGTATTCCTGTTAATTCATCCAAACTATCAAGAACATAAAAGCATCACGAGCCTCTTCTGTTGGTAGCACTTCTCAAGGAATACTCTGGCCTTAAATGTAAGAGTCCACTATTCATAAAACACAGCTGCATTATGCTTTTTTTCATCTTCCTTCAAGTTAATAAATTCTAATTGATTAATCAATATTTGTGCTCTCACAATTTTTCCCCAGGTTCATGAGTGGCAATATGCCCAGAAATTGCTCTTGCATATCTGTAAAGAATATGTATAGTTTATTACCTTTTAGAAAAGGGTCAAGACCTATTTGAAATAGTCTCTACAGGCATTAGCAGGGCAAAGAAGCTCTCCAAAATAAAATTTCCCTGAAAGAGAATATATGATCTAACACTGCTTGTGAATTCTTACTAAAGAAAGGATTCAGATTTTAAGTGCAATGGTGCGGGCACAGCTTTGATGGTACCAGTCCCTTGAGCCACTCTGATAATAGGTTCATCACATTTTTAAACTGCTGGCCTATGGGCCATACAGCCAAACCAAATATTCGGTTGTTAATCAGCCCCTGCAAAGTTTCATTTTAAGAGATAAAGCCAAAAGAATAACATATCTGAATTGCATTGTAAAAAGGAAGTGTAGAAGGCTGCGTTGACCACCAGACTAGTAGCTGGTGCTGTTCCTCCCAGAGATAGAACAGTAGTTAGGCTGAACAGAGACAAGTTCCAGTAACAGCAACTTGAGGCTCATCCTCAGTAATGGCCTAAGGTATCTGGTCATCATCTTGTTTTCTCCTTGCTGGCAAGGCCATTACTGAGGATGAGCTTCTGATTCCATTGACAGTAACTTCCAGCATCTGGAGCATGAAGGAGAAGATGTGGTAACATGCTTTCTGCATGCATGTAAAGCAAGCAGCCTGGCTGTCCTAGTTTTGCTAGGACAGAGTTAATTTTCTTCTTAATAGCTAGAAAGCACTTTGTTTTGGTTTCAGTATGGGATTTGTTATGAGAAGAATGTTGATAAGGTACAAAGACTCTGTGTTTGGGTAGTTTGCAAGTGCAAAGGGCTGGGAGAGGGAAAGTGTAGTAATTAGCAAAACCCAGAATTGGCATTTGGATCTGCCAATGAGATATTCCATATCATATTATGTCATGTTCAGCATATTAACAAGGGCTGACCAGAAAGAGCGGGGATTCTCTTGGGAATCGCTCAAGGCTCACTCTTCTGTGGTTTCAAGTTCAGGATTCCTTTTTGCCCCTCTAGGATCGCTATCAGCAGAGGGTGAGCTATTGTACTGTGCATCACTCATTTTTATATATATATTACTATCATTATCATTATTATTATCATTACTATTTTATCTTACTCCATTTATTAAACTGTTCTTAGGTCAACCTACAAGTCTCCTTACCTTTACCCTTCTGATTCTCTCTCCTATTTCCTGGGGGAAAGGAGGGGGTGTGCAGCTATGTGGTGTTTGGCTGCCAGCCAAGCTAAACTACTACACTGGCATACCATGGCAATACTAGGAGAACAAAGGTAATACTAGGATTTCTGGCAATGGTGTAGCAGACAATCAAGAAGAACAATAGAAAATACCATGGTCTAATAGGAAGAGGATTTCTGGGAAGAACAGGAAGAGGTGCTTCAGAAGAGGAATGGGTTAATCTCACAAAGGTTAGATTAATAGTGTGGGGAGAGGAAAATGAACATCTTTCTCACTTTTCATTCACTTATCCACACAGTTCTACTCCTGGAATTTCTCTTGATTCTTTCCTGATCTGGTCTGTTCAGATGGACTCTTTAATTAAAATGCTGAGGAGTACTGTAAGTCACCTCATAACTACTGCAACTTCTCCTGCTTTAATGATACCCTTCTCTTACCCTTCCATTCAAGTTAAAACACAGTGTGTTAGAGCAGGGTGAAGTTTCAAGAAAATGTGGACTCAATTTAGCATCATGTACTGAACCCAATTCTGATCATGCCTTAGGACATGTTGTTATATTGTATTTCGGAGGGGTGCCCTATCTAGGAATGGTGTTTGACTCCTTGCTAAAAGGCCATCAGGGAAAAGCCCTTAAGCACTTTACATTGTCTCTTCCCCTCTAACTCAATGACCTCTGAAACAATGTTTTTTCATGCACAGAACTATAGCTGAAGTTCAGTGCAAGAAAAAACAAACAGTGGGAGTAGGAGACACTATAGATACACAGCTTGACTTTTGTTCCAGAGGCTTTAGCTTTAGAAGCTGAAGATATCATCTCTCTCCAAGATGAAAGAGTTTTTTTGCTAATACACCAGAGAGCAAACTGCAGCAGCTGGCACCACATGCGCTTGTGCTGTGGGGTGGAGAAGCAGAGGTGAGGAAGAGAGCTGGGATAGGAACATTTAAATTACTGCAACTACAGTGGCAGAGTTCTTGAGTCACTGCCTAGCAGCAGAACAAGAAGGAGGAGTGGGAGAAGTCCCCAGAGGATTACAGATCTTGGCTCCACGGAAGGAGCAAGCCAGACTGAAGAATGCTACATTTTAATACCCTGGCTATCTTCACAGCTCAGTAGCTTTCCAATGCCTTTTATGAGAAAAGTTATTATAATGAAAGACTCCTTTACAAAAATTATCTTATTCAACTTTCCAGAACACTGTCTGTGAAGGACTTAAAGCAGAAGGAAGCGTTCTTAATCCACTGGACAATCTGAGCAAAGGGGAAAGGGGGTACACAAATCTTGGTAGATCCCACGAGTGGATATCAAGGCTTTGGATTGCAGAACTCCGCAAGGGGAGGACTCGGCTAAGAAGTCTTCTGCTAAACACCTGGAAGAGACTGTAGGAACTATTAGCAATTAGAAGTAACTGATTCAGAAGCAAAAAGAAAAGAAAAGGAGTTCAAAACATGAAGGGGATGTGGTGTTGAGACAGCAGCACAGTCCTGAGAAGATCTCCACAAACAGGGGAAATAATCCTTCAGTATTCCTTGGAAGAATTATATGAAATGCCCATGCTGGAAGAGTTTAATGCTCTATGTCTACACAACATTACAATATAGCTGATCCAAAGCCAATAGATCCCTGTCCTGCAGACCAAGTGGCTGAAGACTATTTGGACAGAAGATCTAGTTCTCACTGGAAGGCAAAGAGGATCTCATGCAGAGAATTGATAGTATAAGTAAATACTACAAAGAAACTGTGTAAAGCCAGAATCAAGAAAGCAGTAGCTCAAAATTAACATCACAGCAGATCCTAGGAATAGATGATAATCCATTGGGTCACAGGGCTCTTAAGAGAGAAACGCTCAGAGACTCAAGAGGGGTCTGCCAAAATGCCACTGGCAGGCTAATGAAATGATGGTACAGCCAAGTGAAAGCCAGGACAAAGCAACAATAAGGAAAATATACAATAAAGCAATTTCACATCCAGAGCAGATGCCCACAAACCACTTTGTGTCCCCGCAGTTATGAAGAAAAAATAATTCAGGAGCAGAAGGGGCAAATATTTGTGTGACTTTAGCTTGAACCAGTATAGTGGAACAGCTAATTAACCACCCATTAAACAGACAGCATGAGGGAGGGAGTTAGGAAATCTTCTGTGTCAGGATCCCTACTGTCCCAAGAATGCACACATATTAGCACCTACATGGAGACTTCTGATGCCCTTCTATAGCTGCAAAGCTGGGGGTCTGTGGCTCACTGCTCCTCAGGGCCTCTCTGGGAACAGGCACCCAGGGTCAGGGCTCAGCCTTTGTGCAGACAAAAGCAGGAGCTGGAAACTTGCAGCACAAATTAACCTACATTCTCTGTAACAGCACCTGACTTCCAAACAGAGCTGCAGGCTGGTCTTTCCATTAGCTCCCTCTTGAATCCAATTTGAAACTTTTTGTTCTCATGCTTAAAACTCCACATAATTATTTCCCTTTCCCTCATGCTCCCTCCCCGACAGCATTGAATCAATTCTCCTGAGAAAGCATTTGGTGTGTTGTGAGTCATCCCAACCTCAGTGTGCATGTTTTGATAGATACATTCACCTTTTCCCTTAAACAACCCTTTGCTTTTTTGTAAAATTGTCACCTTTGTCTGATCCAGATCACTCATTCACTCCATTTAAGCTTTCTTAGAAGCCCATAATTGTTTTTATAGGCAATAGAAGGAAATTATCTGCACAGAAGAAAATTATCTGTAGCATTTTTATGGTATCTGTATTAAGTGAAATAATAAATATATTGCCTTTGCCTTTCTCTTTTTTTTTCCCTCTATTTCACAACTTGCTTGTTCAATTACATCTATAGCTAAACTGTAGGCTTTGGGGGTAATTTTAGGTTTTGATGGAGCATTCAACACACTTTTGGATGATAAAAAGTAACTAGTAGAAAGAACTTAAACATTCCGGTTAACTGATGAGTTTATATATATATCAATGTACAGCAAGAAAATTTAAAATAAGAAAATACTTTACAATCATGTTAATATATACATTCATATTAATGTACTTCAAAACTATCATTCATGGTGGTGAGCAAAAGGCCCTCTATATATGATGCATCAGTTACAAAAATGGCATTTCTGGAGTTTATGAAATGGTCAAGAAAGCATACATAAGTGCTTACAAAGTCAAATCTGTAAACTTCTGCTCAAAAGTTCAAGAGAATTCTTAGCAGCACTGCTAAATGTTGTTCATTGCAAAGAATATCTTACCGGATCTAGGTTCTTAAAAAGAAGAATGTCCTTGCATGCCTCCTGCAGTCTGTTTCTTTGATCATCTGTTTTAGGGTGAATAATCTGAGGGATATAATAGAAAAACCTTTAAAGTGGTTATCATATAGCAGCACCAGCTGAAGGACTGAGCTAATTCAGCTAAGCATTTTACACAATATTTTGGCCATGCTTCATAACACCTTCATGTCAAAACCTTCAGGATCTGAATAAACACTCAATGATAACATTATATCACCAGAGCATTAGCAAATGAAGCACTGCTGTATTTAAGCTAACAAAATCTTTGCATTTGTAAAATCCAGTTCACTTCTGCAAGCCATTCCAGATATCTCAACTATTGCTGCATAAACATTACTCTACTACTCCCTAATCCTATTTGGAGCACTTACGTTTTATAAAGAGAACCTCTGTTACATTTAGCCATTTGCCCTGACTACTTCCCAAAGAATATTTTGGAAATAGAATCTGTGTTAAATTTATATCAGAAGTTTCACAGAGTAAACAACAGGCCTGACACTACTGAAGTGAGCCAAAGATTTACTAAATTACCAATGTCCGGTTAATGTGAGTATCAATTGAGGTGTTAATTCAACTCATATGCTTAAAAAGATACGCTAGGTTTCAAAGCTGTGATACTATAGGATAACCTTTTTGACAGTTTTACAAGCCAGAAATTAGGTAGAATACAAACATTTAAACTTGTCTTAAAGTCATACTTATGCTATTTCATACTAAAAGCTAAGTAATGCCTTTAAAAGGGTGACATAAGTAAAAGAAATATAGTTCACTAACTATTGCATTGCACATCTGAAATTTTTAACAATTTTATAATTTACCTTTTTTCTGCCTTATGAAAAATACGAGAATATTGAGGAAACTACTGCAAGATTATAAGGACACTAAATAAGTACTTTTAGGAGCAGGCACTCTCTGGACAAATATAATTGCACAAAAACGTTTCCTTAACAGACAATGCATCAGAGACGTGGTAATTTAGAATAATACATCAGGACCTACAAGGGTGACTATTAACTTTTAAATGTTCCTTTGACATGAAAACCCCACAGATTATTAAAGTATATTATAATAAGGATGCTTTTGGAAAGGAATGGTAATGCTGGTTACATAACTCACATCAGTGCTATTTTCTTCCTAAATTTAATGCCTGAGAACTGAAAGAATAAGTATTTGACTCAAAGCATTAAATAATACCCTAGATTCTGTGTCGTCCTCTTCCTCATCAGGATTGTAAGCTTCTGCACACACTGAAATTTAAAAAAAAAAAGGTACAATCTTAATTCAAAGTACAGTAATGTTTCACAAGATTTACAGAACAGAAAATGCATTGTGCGGTGCAGTAATAATATGCAGTAATGTAGAACACTCAATAGAGAATCACAGAAGATACTGCTGATAGGCTCCATAGCAGGTCATGTCCAAACTGCCCCTGAAAAAAAGCTACACATTGTTTTTGGACCTGTTTTCTGTGTTTTAAAAGATGTCTAATATACTTACAAATTTCCCACCTAAGCTGTTCTAAGTGATCTTACCTTCCTATCAGGTTTTTGGGGTTTTTTTCTGATGTCTAAACTAATTCTTGTTAGAATTTAAGCTATCCATACTGGATGCAGAGATCGGATCATTCCCTTCATCTGTGTAAGTTCAAGGTGGTTTGGGTTTTTTGGTTTTGGGGATTTTGAGGGGGTTTGTTTGTTTTACATACAATGTTTCTCTCCTACCTATCTTTTACTCTTTAGGGTAAATAATTCTGGTTCTTTTTTTTTTTTTTCCCTTACAAGTAATGTTTTTCAGCTCTCTAACTATCCTCATTGCTGTTCTCTGCATTCCCACCAATTAGCCCTATCTTTACTGAAGTGTGATTCTCAAAACTGGACCCAGTATTTGATCTGAGCAGAGTACTGAGTACAAAAGATTAATTACTCCACACATTTTGCAGACTTTTTCAACCATACATACCTTTTTCACAACAATTGATTATGTTTGCTCATGTAATATCCATGACTTACATCCCATTTTCAAAGCCCACTGCTTAACCAGCTGTCCTGTGTCCTGTACACAGCTATTCTGCCCAAGTGTAGTACCATGCACTTACACCTATTAAATATTACCTTATTCCCCAAGCCACTTCTCCAATGTATCAAGATAATTTTCAATTTTAATCCTGTTCTCCAGCATCCTTCCAACCCATTCTCAACTTTGTGACAACTTTAAATTTAATAAGCATACTCTCTAATACCTTATACAGATTATTACTGAAAAAACAGAATAGTGTTAAAAATAAACTCTTTTGGAATAAACAAATGGGAGTGAAACAGCAGTAGCTGCTTGGAAGTTACCTTAACTGACCAGTTTTGCAGCTATGTCCCATACAACTTACATTAACTTACACTGCCTGATGTTCCCTCGCTTGGTTATAAGGGAGTCTTGTGAGACAGCATTCAGAAGTTTCTTAAAAAGTGGAAATGTAGGACATCTGCTCCTTTTATTTTATCCACAAGTTTTAATCTCTCATTACAGGGTATTAGATACTTCCAAAAAACCCATGCTGATTGCTGTTCGTTGCTTTCCTTCAGGTACATACAAAATATTTTAGTATTTGGCTACAATTTCTCTAGGAACAAAAATGGTTTGTAAAGTTGTGACAGGCCTCTTCCCTGTGTAGCTCCTCCATCCTTTTAAGGATCAGTTTTTCTATTTTGCTGTATTTTCACAATCTCTCATTTCTCTTCTTCAGACTCTCAATGGTAATTGCTAACAGGGCTGAAAATTATTTACCCAGTTCTTCCAGTTTCCAAGTATAGCGTGTCTCAGGCACAGCTAACCTGGGAACACCTAACACATTAAGTACGCTCTGATTTGTCCTTCCTTTATTCTAGGCTGAGTTTTCCATATGCTGTGAATGCCACTAGCAAAAACTGATGCGCTTCTGTTAAGCAGTAGAGCAACACTTTCCTGGAACACGTTCTTACCAGAAATACACTTTCAGGACAATTTCTGTTACTTCTCAAGTTCCTTCTTGTACACAGTCTTGTCTTGTTCATATATTTTGGCCTTGGCTTAATTTTTATTTTTTTTTTTGGTCTACATCTTGTGCTATTCTTTTGCACTCATTCTGAATAATCCAAACTAGTTTCAGTTTTCTACATGGTTCCTTCTTGTGCTTGATATAAATAAAGTGCTTATATTTTAGAGAGATTTATTTTACTATGCTTTTTGTCCTTCTCCTGTGCTGTCACAGTCTGCACTTTTTATATTTTTTTCTTTGAGGAGCACCCAATCCCTTTAACTTCTTTTCTCCAGAGTCCTTTCCAATGAGATTATGCCTACAGTCCTCCTGTATCTCCTTGAAACCTTTTGTTCTGATTCTTTTACTCAACCTCTTTCCCTTCCTGAAATCCATGAGGTCTGTCATCCCAGGGTAATTCTCACTCAAGCTGCCTTTTCTCTCCCTGTCCTTGAGCAGTTTCTCTCCCAGAGCTGGTATCAAATAGAATAACTTCCCCTTTGATTGCTTTTCCCATTATCGAAATTTGGTCATAAGTGCACTGTAAAACACGTTGGGCAGTTAGTATTCTCCTTCATTGGTTTTCAACAGATGACTGATTAGTTAATCCCCAATCATCACTATCTTCTCTACTCTGCTAATAAAAATCCTCACCTACCTGATCTGTTTGGTGGTCTGTGCAATGATAGAGCCCATGAGCTTCTCCCCTTTTAGTATGACTCATGGACCATTGGCACATCCAAGTCCCCCTGCAGCTCGGTCACAGCACAAGTGTCTGAACCCGATATACAACAGCAACAGCCTCTTCCTCCTCCCTGTCCTCCCACCACATCTTTGCTATGTTAGTTCAGTCACACTGTCACTGATGGATTAAGGTTTCAGGTCCTCTTGTTTATTTGCCATATTTCCTATAGCATTATACAAACAACTTCTAAAGTAGTAACCAGGTAGACCTATTGACATCCTCATTACCCCATCCAATGAAGACAATTTAATCACAAAAGGTATCATTTCACATATTATGCAGAGTCCCAAACAAAGTCTTGGTCCTCGTCGTATCAGGCACCCAGAAAACACCAAAATGACAACTTTAAGTTTTTGAAGAGGCAAAGTTTTATAAAGAAATTTTATACAAGTCCCTTTGGAACTGACAGAAAGATTCCTACCAAGTTTACTAGGAACTGGATTTGGTCCCAAATAATTACAAACGCCCACAAAAGGAAGTCTGCAATCTGTTGAACAACTACAATATTTTACCTCTACATAAACAAAATGTTCCTACCAACTGTTTTATGGTATTATAGTTACTTCAGTCTTGTCTGAAATAAACCTGAGGGGATTTTATTTAAATAGGAACAATAGTAACATGGAAGTAAGCACCATAACCCATCATAATGTAAATGACTATTTTGTTTCACCTGGTATCAGCCTCTGTGCTCTAGTGCATGTATGTTCCATGGGAGTCAACAAATCTGTATTACAGTACAGCATGCTGCTGGGTGTATGAATAGTCTGTCTCAGCCTGAGGGACAGTTACATCCTGTCCTTACCTCCAATAAAACCTCTACATGAAAAAAATTACACGAAACGGGAATTTAATTTAATAGCTTTGATGTTGTTACCCCAGAATTGGCAGGTCTTAAAGAGCCTGGCTGAACATTTAATAGTCTTCCAGACCACATAAAAGAAACCAAATTTAGCCTCATCCATGCCCATCCTGAATCATCTTATCAGTCCCTTGCACATAGCCTGAAGCAGGATCAGTACAGAAAGAGAGCGTGTTCCTGAGGTCTTCTGTGTCATCTAGTATCTCTGCTCTAACTTCACTCTTCTCTGCTAGAAGCTCATTTCAGTCAGTCTCATTAACTATCATCAGCAGGTGCCTTCATTAAATATTTCTTCTTTAGCACTGATTATGGACAACATTGATTTAAGAACTGCAATTTCTCCTGGCTAGTGCCTATCTGCCCAAATTTCAAAATTATTTATTTTTATCATCTGTGATGAGAAATTTACTCTTCTGGTCACAATTCTGTACTTATTTTGCCTTGGCTTATCTTACTGCCAAAACCAAGGATGCATCTTTCATTTGGGTTGCAACTTAAAGATTATATCAATGCTGTGGCTCTGCAGTTTTAACTATGGAGTTTTCTTTCTTTCACTACTTACTTCAGTAGCCTGTCCTACAGACTTTATAGTCTAGTAACATATTAATTTCTAAGGGCATACCACTTGATACATTTTACTTCATAAAATATGGTCTCTGACATTGCTATGGTCCACTGAATTTCATGACATGAACATTGGGGTTTGGCACATGAGGATCCCAATGACATAAAGCACCTAAAACTAAGTCAGATGCCTCTTATGTAGACATCCACATCTGCAGAAGTCATCTGGATTCCAGTTACAGTCAGTGGAGAGAAAGTGGCACATTTATGAAGTGATTCATCTGACCTGTATTGCATGTCCAGATTAAGATGAGATTAATTAAAAATATGTCTAATAGGCTGTGATAAATCCTATCCCTTGAGATGAGTCTTGTATGTTACAACTACCTGCAAGACTGGTTCCCCCACTTCTCCATTTAGTCCTTATTTATTGGAAAACAACAAAATTCATCATCTGATGATGCTCACACAATAGCACATTAATTCATATATTTCAGAGAGATGGTCTGTGGTCCCCATCTCTTTTGTCTAAGGCTTGACTGGCACCACAGGCATTAATTATTCTGAACCACTCTACTGGTTGCTGGTGGCTGCAACACTCACAGCGTTCAGTATTTCACTTTTCTGCCTCTCCAGCTCATTCCACATTCCCAACGGTACACAGTACATGGTGACTTTATCATGCTCAAATGCCCAGCCACATTTTGCTGTGTGTCACTACTGAATGCTATACTGACATCATTGCTCAAAAAGCAGTCCTAATACTGTTCTTAGGCACCTATTTCATCCCGCGCGTAATTATGGCATTAAAAAATAGCAATACAAACACTGTACATATTTCTACCTTAGTTGCTAAGTTCAACTAAGTGAAACTATTTTTATTCAGTTTTTCCAGCTGAGAGTTACATTTCACATAAAATTGCCCAAGATGGACACAAATACCAACAAGCCCAAACACATCAACATAAAGTATTTGCAAGAAAAATCTGAATTGTCAAACTGCAGTGCATTATTAGAATACACATGCACTGAAAACTGCACACAGCCCTACGTGGATTGCTCTGTCAGCAA